GGCACTCCAATGTATGGACAAGCAAAGTGACTGTTTTGGCGTCTCGAATTTCTGACCACTGAGACGGACACCACAGTCTGTTCATTAAGACAGTTCTTGGGGAAACATTCAGGCGTAAGTTTCCTGCCAACTGAGGTCATTGTACCCTTTGATGTCACATCTCCTTTTACTCCTTTTTCCAGGATTTGGTAGTGGAGTCAGTCTAAATACTCCTACGAAGCCGAAATCCTGCAGCTCTTGAATTTCCATGATACGATGTACTTTGTTGTTTGTCAGGATAATATACGAGCAGCTGAATGGAAGATCAATGCATTCGTCGATTTCGAGGTTAATGCCCGAGGTGGTTCTAAAACGGATAGAATCGTTAGTTTTCCAAAAATACAGACCGAAATTCTGGGCGCAGCAGGTGGATGATACCTTCGGTGTCATCAAACCGGAATAGATGCTCACGTTAAAACAACGTCTAAATAGCATCTTCCCAGACATACGATTTACGATGGAGGAAGGAGGGAAGGAAAACGACCAGGTGGCCTTCCTTAATGTCCTTGTCTGCCACAGACATTGTGTAGGCTTGAACACGAGTGTTCAGGAAAACGAAAAATACGATAAAACTATGGAACTATAACGACAACCACCCAATCAACCACAAACGCATTTGCGTAAGGACGCTTTATCGGCATGCCGAGACGCAATGCAGTGAACTAGAGGACAGAATTACCAAACTGAAATACCTTTGATGGACGTTCAGACAAAATGACAATCCACGCAACTTCGTTAAGCGGTGCAAACGAGAAGCGCGACAAAATAGCGCCGACCCCTTAATTTGGCGAGCGATTCCGTACGTCAAAAAAGTATCGGAAGCCATCGGCCGCCTTCTCGAACCACTTGGGGTAAAAGTCACACACAGGCCGAAGGAAACCATTAGGCGTCCGTTTATTAAACCGCAAAACTCACGGCCACTGCATGAAATGTTTGGGATCGTTCGTGGGATCTGGTGCAGTTGCAGACAAAGCAACTACATCGGAGAAACTGGAAGACTTGTCCAGACGCGAACTGCCGGACACGCGCAACACTGCAGAGAACTGAAACCCACTCTCAAGATGCGATTTATTCAACGAGACCTGGTCATACTCCCAATTTTGATCAGGCCGAAATTTTCGCGAGCGGTGACAATCGTGTGAGCCGCGAGCTGCTTTAATCATGGTTCACGCGCCTTTAGTTTATAAACGAGTGCAATGACTTGTCCAACCCATATCCTGTGCTAAGCGGAGTTTGGCCAAAGCTATTCCCTACTTGAGGAACGCACAAGCTAACGCATCTTCTGAAGCCAGCGCCAGGGAGCCAGGTGGCTGGGCAATCATCACGCCCAAGTCCAGCACGGATGATGAAAGTTCACCAGGTCACGACTCACATGCCATCCATCAAGCAATTAGCGCTTAAGCGGGCAACTATCCTCGATAAGGGGGGCCGTTAATTGTCATAGGTACGCAGTAGCACAGCGATTGCGTCCCATAAATGGCGCAGCCCCCTCTGTATGAACTACCCGTTTTTGCTATTGTCTCTGATGATGGATCTGCGACAGAATCCGAAACGTCAGGAGAATAAAGTTCTTCACCCGGCGATCACATCTGCTTCTTTTAAAAAAAATTGTAAACAAATATGCTTTGCTATGTTATTTGCGCAAATAAATTTCGAGAGCGCTTATCAGCTGTTTCCGCTCTGTGCATGAATA